GATAGATAGATAGATAGATAGATAGATAGATAGATAGATAGATAGATGGAGAGGGAGAGAGGGAGAGGGAGAAGGAGAAAGAGAGAGAGAGAGAAATCACCCTTCTCTGTTACTGCTACCACCTGGTACAGGTCTGTGGAACCATATCCAGAAATGATTATGAAATAAAAACAGATGGCATCAGTAAAACCTTTTTCCTTATTAAAAAAAGCATAGTAGAGTTGAAAGAACAGGAGACAGAGAATCTGTGTTTGAATCCCAGCTCTCCTACTATTTGTGTGTGTGTGTGACATTGGGCAAATCATTTCCCTTCTCTGGTCCTCAGTTTCTTTATCTGAAAGAGAAGACTGAAATAAGTGATCTCCAAGGTTCCAGCCAGCTCTAAGTCCTCCCACAAGAGTCACCAGCTTACAAATTCAGAGCATTCTTCCTGGGCACTAAGCCAAAGGGATGGAAGTATCCTTGCCACTTTAACCACTTCTATTCACTCCCCCCGTCCAGGATGGCCTTCTATGCTTTCTCTTCTCCTTCAGGACTGGCCTGTGTTTTAACTTTGTTTTACCAAGTATAAAAATGGTGGGAGAAGGGAAACAGGGTAATTTCTCCTGGTCCTACACTTCTAGGAGGAGTAGAAAAGAGCAAATAAAATCACCTTACAAAGGATTTTCTCACATATTAACAGGGAATTCTCACAACCACCCTGGATGGTAGGTAGGGGGGGGTATCATCACCTCATTTTACAGAGATGGAAACTGGGGTTTAGAGAGAAGTGATCTCCCTAGGGGTCTCAAGGCCAAATAAAAAGCAGGGCCAAGATCCCAGGCCAGGGCTTCTACCTTTAAGAACTGTCTTCCCAATGTGAAAATAGGTTCAATATGAATATATATGTAAAGTTTATATCAAATGGCATGTCATCTTGGGCTGAGAGGAGGGGAGAGATGGGGAGAAATTTGAAACTCAAAATCTTATGAAAGTGAACGTTGAAAACTAAAAATAAAGAAATTTATTAATTAAAAAAAAATAACTGTCTTCTTTCTGCCACAACATGCTGTCTAGAAAAATACAAACCCACAAAAAGCTCACCCTGCATCCTTACAGACATTGAAAGTTAGTGGGTGGGTGCCCTGTGGGCATGATGGGCAAGGCCCTGTCATCTCAATGGGCCAGGAATTCTGTATCTCCATCACCTTCTTAACTCCTCCCTTGACACTTACTTATTCTGGAGTCAGAGGACCTGGGTTCAAATCCTTCCTCTGATACCTGCTACCTATGTGACCTTGGGAAGGTCACTTCACCAATTTGTTCCTCAGTTTTCTCATATGTAAAATGAGAGGATTTTACTACATGACCTGAAAAGTCCCATCAGCTTCCTCAGCTATAAAATGAGGGAGTTGGAATAAGCAGCCTTTCAGGACTTTTCTAACCTTACATGCTGGGCCATCTCCAGTTATCCTTATCGATATCTGGCCACTAGACCCAGATGGCTACGGAGGAGAAAGTGAGGCTGGTAGCTTTGCACAGCCCTCACTCACTTAAAACCAATTCACTTGCAAATCATGGCATCATCTTCCTGATGTCCTGGTCCTCTTCAAGAACAAAAGACAAATCACCACACACAACCCTACATATATAATTCTTGCCATTCAGCATCCCAACTCCCATCTTATCTTCCATAGTTATACAGCAGTATATGGTAGGGGAAAGAAGGAAAGAAAGAAAGAAAGAAAGAAAGAAAGAAAGAAAGAA